TACAACAATGGGTGAGATTTATGTACACCAACTGAAAAGTTTGAAGTATTTTACACCATGGGTCTTTTTAAATTGAGTGGTTAATCCTCCCCACTTTAATGATGCACAAAATGAGAAACAATGGCCTTAGGTGTAGGTGAGAGAGGTGACCACCCATACAGTGCTATTTGAAATGTGCCCAAAAGTTTTCTTGCCCCAGAAATATCACTCATAGGTATATTAGTCTAATATATGTAAAGTGATTTACAGATTGCAAAGCAATTTCACATAACTATCATATTTAGTTTTCTCAATGACCGCAAAATAGGTAAGAAAGCTGTCATCATCCCCATTTTATATATAAGAAAACTGAGTCTAATATGTACAAGGACAAGGATATTTTAATCACCTAGTATGTAACAGTCAATTCACACATGATGTAATATCATTCTCTCTATAATGCCACTTTACAAATGAAGAGAATGAGATTCAGAAAAATTAAGAAACCTGCCCGAGGTGACAAATCTGGTAAAGTAGTAAAGTTGAGATTTGAAACCAGGTCTGTGTTCCTCTGATTCCAGAACCAAAGCTTGGCACATACGATTAATTTTTAATAAGGTATGATCAAATGTTTTCAACATGAATTTACAGTTTTTTAATTATGAGCATGAAGAAACTAATCTAAAATGGTGTTGTTTTTCAAACCAAGTGCTCAGAAAATTAAGTATGCCTTCAACTCCTTTGCCCAGCAATTAATTAATTCTGACATGGCAAGTATACATACGTATGTGTGTGTGTGTATTTATATATATATATATATATGACATCATTATAAATATATGGTCTAATGAGCCACTGTAAACTAACTTTTTCATTAACTTTGTTTCATTTTACTTATTAGTCCATGCTTATATCTTGATTTATAATATATTCCAATATGAACATAAAATACATTACTTGTATTTTTAATTGATTCATTTCCCTAATTCAGAAAGGTATTCTCTAGAGTTATTATTAGTAGCTCACTTGGACAATGCAACCCTCCCCCTAATTTCCCCGCCTACTGCCCTCACCCAAACACACACTTAACTCTTTGTTCTCCCAGTTGCTCCAATACTGGAAGCTGGGTGACCTAACCATGATTATAGACTAGGTACCATCTTAGTGCCATGGAAATAGTATGAGGAACCCTAAATATGCACTTCAAGAGTTCAACATCAATTTAATCTTAATATTGGTAATACTGTGTACATGTTAAAATTAGTTTATTAATAATGGTCACTCAGGGCTAGCCTATGGCTACGTTCTTTTCTGTCATCAACCTGTCACTCTATGACAGGATTTTCAGGCCTCACTATCTACTGTACTACCACCAAATGGCTAATCTTCACTTGCTGCAGCCCTGCATGGACAAGCTTTCTGGGATGCACTGCAGCTTGCATGATTTCTTCATTGCCCAACTACCTTAGGATGAGTATCAGTGAAGACACGCCATAAGTAAACTATATTTGGATCTGGTAGGCATATTTTGATCTGGGTCACCTATGTGATTCACCTTGAAATACAGTCAGGAAGCCATGTGGTTAAATGGAAGAAATATGGGCTTTGGTATCAGACTAGCTGTGCCTGAATATTGTCTGCTATTTACTAGCTGTGGGACCTTGGAATAAACTACTTCTCCAACTCTGTTGATCTTCATCTATAAAATAGGTGTAATAATACTGCCTTAAAAGTTTGCTGTGAATATTAAATGAGACAAAATACATTAAGTGGCTGGTACAGAGTAAGTGGTAAAAAGAAATTCTCAGTCTCCTTTTCTTTTTTTTTTTTCCTTTTTTCTTATCTGACTTGCCCCACTTACACTTAATTTCCAGTTCCCCGAGGAGATGAAGAAAAATTAGAGTGATACATGTTGAGGAACTTCTGATAGATTCTGATTTCTGCAAGGAAATAACTTGTTTTGGAGTAACTGCCATACATTACCTGATTTAATACACAGTTTTTTAAAATTTGGAGCAAAGAATGAGAGAAAAACAATGATAGTCTACTGAACTTCATATGAATCAGTCCAACAGTGAGCCATATGTTGGTAGTTGCTTTTGCCAGTACTAGGGGTTGAAGTAACCACACACACACCTGTCTACCCTCATCACTTACCACACTTTGTAGGACAGCTGGTGGCAGAAAGGACTGGGGTACTGACTGCCTATAGTTGTGCAGCTGAATAATGCTGTCTGGCCCATCTGGGATAATAGCATGCTTTCATTAATTTCATGCTTTTTAAATACACTAAATTGAATAGCAACAGACCCCTGAAAATATCTGCTCTATCTTCTCAAACTACTTTCAGACATCCTAAACTTGCAGAGCTTTCTACAAGTATAGCTACATTAAATTTGGAAAGTGAGTTAATGGATGGGATCTTTTGACAACCATCTCCCCAGAGATCAGTATGACAACCTCCTCATCACACTCTTATTAGCCTGATGGAAACAGAGAAACTCATCCTTAGGTCTCTATATCTTGTATTCTCTTTGTAAGCAAAAGAGAAAGGATGTGTTTTGAATGGTACTTTGCTTGCACTTACACATCTGCAAAACTTCTTTGAAAAAAACCAACCAACAATATGATTTCGGCAGTACAACCACATTTATAAAGACCTCATAGTTGCTGTGCAAAAGTAAATATAGCATTGTATGGTCCTCACTTAGTATTGCAAAAAATTCCTCAAAACCTATCGAGAGATATGTGGGTAATATAAGAGGCCATGGGTAATGAAAGGCATTTATAGCTTAGCTCTTTCACAACTAAGTTACTTTTTTGGCAGGTCCTCAACTTCCATTAGCCATTTTTCTTTCTGAAAAACAGTCACTCAAATAAACAAAAAAGTTATACACTGTATTCCATCATTTTCAGAGCTCAGTGGATACTTGAGGTAGTTTAACAGCTTTTTGTCAAAAGGTAGGTTTTGAGGTCATTCTAGTTTTATCTTTAACTGTGAAATCTTAGTGACTTAAACATTTCTTAATGGGTACAGCTTTACTAATTATCTGGCTAACCTTGCTATCTCTAGAGGGTCCACTTGGCTCTTTATATTTCTATTTCTGCCACATATGAGCCCTAGTCTGGATTAAAAACCTGAACTACAAAATTCCAAAATTTTGCCTTCATTCCTATATCCATACCCCTTCTTGGCATAGAATGCCATCTCTTTCCCTGCCCAGGTATATAATAATCCATCCTTTAAAACACAACCCAAGCCCCAACCCCACTTGAAATATTGCACAACTATTTTAACTTAAAATTATAGTTTTCTTCTGAATTTCCAGTGTGGCCTTAGTTTACACCTTGCAGCTAGTAGTGTCTGTCTGTCCTTTTTTATGACATTCTTTGATTCTTTTATAGATGTTATTTTGTCTCCCCAGAAAATCTGACTATTCCTTGAAGTCACTACAGATGGCATATTTACCTTTTTTGGCATAATCCAAGCTAAACCAAATAAATGCATGTAGTAGGCATTAAAAAACATTCACTGTCTCCACAAAAGCAAACAAGCTATGAGGCAAAATCTAAACTAGTATCCATTAATTTATAATACCGATTATGATTTGGAAAATTCTCAGTGCCACTGGCTTTGTTCAGTGTGCCCAGCTCTTTGGGGCCTATATTAAACTTTACTCTCATGTAATCCAAATACAATGATATTTTATTAAACAGGCATTTCTGGGTAAAAAGAGCCAATGATTGCAACAGTTTGATAGGCTTGAAAGGGTTTCCTGGGGCTTCCCAGCCATTATTTAGGACAAAAAAAAGGCAAGCTCTCAGACATAAACCACGTAAATATGACTTACCACCTATTTGAAGGTACTAATCCAGTTGTATTTTTATCTCGAATATGCCAAGTGTTTAAAGAGTTTTAATGCTCCAACACAATTATAGTGCTAAGAACAAGTTTTCTTTTGCATAATGACAGGAAACAATAAAGTGAAGAAAAATAGAAATGGAAGCTGAGGAATCAAGAGATTTCTTAATAGAGAACCATGCTAGGCAAGTGAACAGATTCCTCTGGAAGAATTGTTGGTAACGCAGCACTTTCATCTTTCAATGAGATAAAAAGAAAAAAAAAACCAGTAGTGTATAGACAGGACAAGGCACCCTGGCAGGAAGATGTGGATTTAGAGACCCAAAAGGTCATTGCTATCATGAATTGCATTGCTTCACAGCAGTGCCCATTCCTTTGCATTAGTATCTTGTGCTTATCCATGGCACACATACACACGTGTGTGCTCAGGCACACACACACACACACACACACACACACACACACACACACACTCCACATATAAAATGAAATACACAGAGTTTGAATCTGCTTTTTTTCTAAAGGAAAAAGAAATATATGTATTACTGTTGAAATGTAATGGCATATTCTGATACCTGGAATAAAGAAAGATTATAAGTTCTTAAAGGTTAATCTGAACAACACAAATCTTAAGTAGATTTAAGGAAGTGGGCCAAGTTTATGGCTTTATGCTAGAGAAGGATTAGTAATTTTAAATGAGGGGATGGCTATTGTAATTTCAGAGCAATGAATCTGTAAATCCATGGCAGAAAAAAAGCTAGGGAAGTATGCTGGGTTAAAGTCGGGAGAGGGGAGTTAAATTTAGGCTGGAAGAACAGAAAGCAACTTATGCAAAAAAGTTACAAGGCAAAACCTGAGCTAATATTTGTAAACTTATAGATCATCTTTTATGCCTTTCATCCCCCCTCCCACCTGTACAGAAGTTTCCAGAGCTCTATTACAGGAAATATGTATATAATACACACACACAAACACAAACATACAGAGCCAATGAAATAAAAGGTACAGTGAAGGAAATTACTGCAAATTGAGAAGCTGAGAAATAAAAGCCAGTATGATTCTTAGAAGGATTTTTCATTTTTACTCCCTAAACCTCTGTTTCCCACCAAGTTAATAGTATGCATTCTCCAAATTATAAGTTTAAATGAGAAGATTAGACATGGTACTCTGCTCAAGGTTTGTATTCCCAAACGGCAGGAAGATGTTTAACTATCGTTCCTAACTAAAACTTCAGAAATAACTCTTAACAAAGGACCGGGCCTCCACGAGTCTTCTAATTCTTTCCAACTGGCCTTCAACAGGGTTATTGCCACGAATGCCTTTATCATCTATCATAACTGTGAAAAAAGGAGTTGTAACTTCAAAGCAGTGTGAGGGATGTATCCCCTCCCACTCCTCCTCTCTGCTCCTTCTCTCCCTCCCTTCCCTAGCAACTGATAACCTCAGAAAGAGAACTCCAAATCTAGCAAGAAGCAGTTGGTCCCCGGCTTCATTCGAGCTGCCAAGCTGCTCAAAGGCAGAAGCACCAGTCATTTCTCCAGACCGACTTGGCCTGTGTGGGTGCTCAGTGGGATTTCTCCATCACCTAAGACTTTCCAGATCAAATTTCTCCATGGCTTGTATTGAAAATGTGTAAGTACAAAACAGAATACAACTGTTTAGTTTTAAAGACAACAGGTACTTTCAATTGCTTTCCTGCATAACCGGGACAGGGACAAGTGGGTTGGAGGGGATGTGGGAAGGGATCACAGACGCAAACTTGAAGGCTATAAACCCAGATACTAAGAATGCTGGATTTAAGTGTGGCGATTTTTCAATGTAATTTTGAAACCAAAGTTGTAAATCCTTAGTCTAAATAGTGGGGTTGAAAATGAGGAAAATCGTGCTCTAGGGTCTGGAATGGGTTGATGAAAGTTTTAACATAATTCAGTGCAAATGTGAATGATGCTTCATAAAGAGGAACAAACGGGAGTGTTTGTTAACACTAACCTTTCTTTGACTCTGTGGAAAGAAGAGTTTTTCCCTCGCAAGACTTTCCAGAACACTCCCTCCAGAATCTGAATGCGGAGCTCAGTGGCGCACAGATCCTCCCAGGACTGAAAAAGCTGATGCTTTCTCTGGTGGGCCTTTGCATTACAGCCTCTCAAGAAGCTCTCCAGGTCTTCTAGGTTTCCTGGCCACCTTGAGAAGGTGGGGAAATAGAGATTAGGGTGGAGTCACAGGTCAGCCAGGGAGGGAAATCGGTAGCTGGAGCTAAAGAGGCTGTCAGATGAGGAGCAGCTGGGCTGAAGAAGTGCTTGCTGAGTACACGTGGGAGGAGGTAGGGCTCCCTTGGTGTTTTCCATCAAGTTCAATCAGTTACATATTTAAGATATTTTCTGGTCACTGCATTTCCATTTTTATTTACTTATTTCTATTTTTGCAAGCCTTGGAGGGCACACCCCTTCATCCATAGCGGTAGCTGCAGATGAGCTCCGGATCCAGGCACTGCGCCAGGACTTGCCCCTCCAGTGTCCTCCGAAGGATGATGCGGAGACCTGGGGCCACCCTCGCGTGCCGCTGAGACTTCCCATAATTGTGCTGACCAATCTGGCAAGAGAGCAACTGGAGCGCCCCTCTGAGGGAGCAGGATCTGGCCTGCCTATCGACAGTTCGAGACCTCTCCAACACCCATATGGGCCACCACCTGCTGTTGTGGAGGAGTCCCTAGCAACAGCAGAACTAAATAGCTCTTATGGTCTGGCAGGCGGGAGGCAGAGGGGCCAGGATTCTTTTCATCTGTCCCAGGAATTCTCTGGCAACTCTCCTGCACTGATGATCGGGGGCACAAGGGTCAGCAATGAGAGAGAAGACAATAATGCAAGGTTATATGTGGCTTTGCCACAAAGTCAGGGGTTCTTGCCACCCAGGAGCCCACAAGTAAGAGGCCGTCCATGCATGCTGTGCACTGTTCGATCAGGGATAATGATGGAGCTGCCTCCAGGAAATAGGAGAACGGCTGGCAAGGGAAGGCTGGCTCACGTTTATTTCCCCTTGAGGGGCCCTCAGCACCCTGTGGAATATTGGCCATGGCCTATCCCCTTGTCTTCTAGTACCCCAGGTGTACCTGCTGGCGTTGCTGCTCATTGCTTCATTTGTCCTCGACCTCCCAGTTTCAATCCATTTCTTGTTATGCCTGTATCTTTTGCTCCTGCCCCCAAATTTGGTCCTCTACTGCCTTCTTATTTTGCCAGTTTCCCTTCTTGGGGCATGCCACCTCCTGCATCCTCAAGCAGGAAACACAAATGATAGCAAACAAGGAAGGAAGGGTTGGGGTAAGAGGTGAAAGCTGTTCCTTTATGTTTATATATTTGAAACCCCTTACTCTCTTACATTCTGTTTACCACCTAACATGCCTTACATACATACTTGGAGAACCAATAAAGATCATAAAGTTTGATATATCGTGAATTGTTTTTTGAAATGCCTCTCTGGGAGCCTAAACCTTGGGTTTTGTTTTCTATGTTTATGGAAATTAAAGCAATAATGTGCCAGTGTTGTCTAAGTAGTTAAGTTGAATCCTACCACTGGCTTGCAGCTGTGTATGGTGAGGGGTCTCTGGCTTCTTGCTAGACCAAGTGTGGGGCATGGAATTCCTACGTACCTTAGGGTGATGGGGATTGCTGAGAGCAGGACAGGGGGATTAAGGTAAGGTCCATAAAGGTAGACCACACTCTAGATAATCGAGAAAAATGCACAAACAATAAAGGTAGCTAGATCAGATAGTAAGAGTAACAGAACCAATATTTCAGTCAGTTACAGGCTGAACAAGGCCAAAAGGTCAGGTAAGAAAAGGGGCTGGGGAGGTGGAAGAGTTCTAGACTATTGTTTCAAACATGAGCTAGTATTTGCCCCTTAACAATGCTTTCCTGCTGCTGAGCACTTGGTATATACAGGTCTGGCTTAATAAAAGTCCAGGGTCAAGGTGTGACAGGACCCAACCCTTCAACCATTCTCTGAGGAAAGGCTACTGTAACCTCAAAACTTTTAAACATCATGAGAATATTTCACTCAGGTGAAATCCTCTCCAGTACCGCTGTTTGTACTCTTGGTAATGTGCTGCAGCACCATTATAATAATGCTTCTGAGAGATGATCAGAATGCCCAGACGGGAGCCTTTTCAAATTCAAGTGACAAAGATAAGGGCACAGCATGCAGGTGCAAGGATGGCCATTCTGACCACTGTACAACTTAATTCACTATATAATAAAATGCCCTAAAGCACAGGGCCACTATATATGAACAACCACTAAATTGGAAATGTCTTTAAAGAACGATTCTTCAAATCAGTTTTTTTTATTCCATCTCAAGAGCTGATAGCAGAGGTGATGTAAGCAGTCAGATAAAGGCTCACAAAACCCACAAATTCAAAAGGCACCTCACAGATAAGCAAAACCATTCATGTGTTTTTAGTACCCGTAACAGGTCTTTTGCTACTCTGGCAAAAAAGACACATAGATCCATAAAGTTTCTCTTCTCCATTTGGTTCATTATAGAGTGTTCTAAATTTACAGGTGGTAATGCAAGGCTTAGAAGCATCTGGATAGTGATCGCTAAAATTCCCCTTACTCTCTGTGTGTCCTGAAGCTGGCAAAATTCCATCAGTTCACTGTCGTGGGTTGAGCAGAAGTATTCAGCAAATCATTTGACAGCTGCTCACTATGAGGTAGCTTAGTCCCAGTGTACCAAACACTTATTGAATTTTCAGCGTTAATGAACAGAGGAGTTGGGCATGCTTACAGTCATCAAAAATATCTTCTGAGCCAGATGTTAAAAGATATTTTGACAAGAAATCAAGTTGTTGTGTCAACAGCAGTGCTACATCTCTGGAGGGATGCCAAAAGGTGTGGTAAGTGACAACAGGACAGGAGAAGCTTTCCTTTTCAAAGGAAGTAGCTGCAGTGAATGCTCAGGAAGACTTCACTCACTATGACAGCAATCCATGACAAATTCACTGTAACAATAAATCACCACGAACACAATCTGCTTTTTTCAACCCTCTGTTCTCCTTTCTAACACTGTGTGTATGTTCATAATTTTCTATGTCATTTCTAAACACTGAATGCCTATAGTAAGCAACAAAAAGTAACTATTAGCAAATTGAGGCATTGAAGTTTCATTCACACCTCTGTGATGCAGTACAAATAAATTGTATTTAGTTACAAAGCTCTGTGCCTATATCACAGGGTTCGGTGAACACAAGTGTGGAATACACCTGGGATCCTGTTGTTAAGTGCCAGTGAAATGCAAATATCTTTGTTGGTCCATAGTTTCTGTATGGAAATTCTCTTGTTAGTTTGTTATTATAAGTGCCCAAATCCTCAATGACAGCAAAACATTCATTTTTAAACACATAATTTGCCTTAATATTGCTATTTTTAAATTTTTAAATTAGTCTGGTGCAATATGAGCCAATATGAATCCTGTACCACACATCTTATTCATTTTGTAAAGTGCTCATAATGCAATATATTCAACACTCTTGAATATGTATGTGTTCCCTTTCTTTCCTGTGGCTTAAATAGCTCCTAATGGTAACAGGGAAAAGTAAACATCAACAAACTAGCCCTTTCTTCTGATAGTAATGGGAATGGGTTAAGTATTTCCTATTCTAGGTTATAATCATTGTCACAAGAAGATTCATGTTGCACTGTTTATTATTTATAGTTCTCATTATATTCTTTGTCACAAGACTGTAGCATGGGAATTTTAATGTCCTATATATTCTCTAGAAGATAATAATAAACTGTACAACTTTGACCTTTTCCATGTCCCAATGTATGATTCATTAGCCATTTCTAGTTTCCACTGTTGCCAACTGCTGTAGCCAATCAAACCGCAGAATACTGAAAAGGTTGAAGTTCAATGTTATAAATTTTTTAAGTTTATAGCCTTTCATAAACCAGAATGACATTAAAATTACACCTCATTCTTCTGAGAATTATTATAACAAACACTAAAACAGGACCACATAATTTATTTTCCTTGGAGTCTTAAGGTTGAGATCATAGTGCTATCTTCTTCTACCATGGAACAAGTGGTTTATTGTGTGGCTGTCACTAAATAACTAGGTAGCATATATATAATAAGGGAGAAAGATATTCTGTAACTATTACACTGCACTGTAACAATAGCTTTGGAGTTTCAAGTGTTACTGAGCAATGTTGATTTTTATAGGCCCTAAATCCAGGACTGTGTAAAATGACTCTATTTCAAGATCAATGGGCCAAAGCCAGAGACAAAAGAAATTTTAGACAGATAAAAAACACTATGTCATGTCACAGGTTAATTCCATAGCTATTACAAAACCTTGCATGTCTCCTTTATAAAGAGCTGGATTGAGTGATATTCCCACAGAAAGAGCCAGTGATGAGACTAAACTAAGTGCAAGAACCCATCTATTTCTCTGTGGTGATATTTATTTTTTTCTTACAATAATGGAAATGTACAGCATTGATCAAATCGAATCTAGATTTGACAAGTCAACGAATGGTGCTTCATCATGCAATCTTTTTCTTAAATACTTGTGAAGGTAAAGACTGATTAAATATATATGCTTTCTCACCCACTTTTGGGGATTTTCGGCCACTCAGAAAGGCTTTCTCAGTATCTCAGTTTCTCAAAGAAACTATCTGTGGAACTTACTTTCATGAAATAACTCCACCATTGTTTTTTGAGAGTGGACCAGGATTCTGTGATGGTCCTATGATTCTTTATAAAGGTAAACTGTATTTTTCTTAACTCTGAAAACATCTTTCTCCAAGTAAAATAAGGTAATATTTTAAATTGCTATTTAGGAATTTAAAGGTACACAAACCCATCAATCCTACAATTAAGGACTCTGTCCATCCAATGGTGTTAATTATGTTTTTATGGGGAAATACACATTTATAACTGACTTTATCCCACACTGATTGTAAAAGCTTTGACTCAGAAGCAAAGCAACACAGGGAGTACAGGAGTTGATGGATGGTGCTTATGCATGTGAGAAAGTAAAAAACAGATGGAGAAAGACAGAGGATTAAAAATAGAGAGGGGCAGGGCTACTGTCAGTTGAGAAGAGATAGAGTACTTTAGAACAGGAAGCAGCTGCAAATTGGAAGTACTATGGGAAAAGTAATACGTTTGGAAATAGGAAAATGTAATCCAGAGAAAGTAGAAAGGGGAAGTTTGAAAAGAAATGCTATGGATTAAGTGTTACATTACAGAAAGGGCTCTGTGTAAGAGCCACACATTTGAGAGGGTGGGGTAAAGTGATTAGAGAAAGGCTAGCCAGCCTTCCCAAAATTAATCTATCTCTGCTGCTTCATTCCTTCCTATAAATATCATCTCTCTTTAGATAGCAGCCAATCTCATATTCCCAATGTGAAACTGGAAGCCCTTTCTGGCTTGGGTTTCATCAATCCCCTAAACTGGCCTTGACAGGCAGACACATCATCATCAAGGTTAACTTTATTAGTGAAGTGGGTGTGCAATGAATTAGGCTCACAAAAGAACTTTTCTCTTCAAGCTCTCTAATATATCAGACCCTGAACTTTTTTTTTCTTTTTAAACTCCAGTCTCTTTTCCCCTGGTGAGGTACACTGATCATTTTCTAATTCTGCCTTTTCATTCCTTCCACTAAATCATAATTTTCTGAGGTGGAGTTGCTGGCTTTATTAATCACACTTCATCCAGAAACCAAGTAATCCATTATTTCTCCAAGGGGCATATTTATACCTCCTTTAAGCATAAAATTCTTATACATTGCATTAATCTGCATTGGTGCTCAATAGTTATTAGCAATATATTCTACAATAAATGTGTTCAAGACACTGTTTAATGCCTTAACTAAAAATTTGATTATCAATAAACAGCACCATTTTAAAAAATCTTATATTAGTAAAAAGTCACATCTGAAGGAAAACAGTTGAATGTGAATAATGTTTCACAGTTAAAATACCTATGAGCTAGTCTTATAAATATTATCAGTAAAATCATGGATAACCCCAAATTAAACAGAATGACGTGGCCTTTAAAAAATCTCTTCAGAGTTTATATGAACTTTATTAATTGGTTCAGTGTTAGACATTTTCACAAACCAATTGCAATGTATATGCATCCCAAATCGTCTAAGTTTATAGTTAGTTAACACTCAACCTCACCAGCCAGATGAATCTATGCACATGCCACTTTCAAATAGTGTAAAAACTCATTTCTCCTTCAGGCATTCAATATGAAGTGAAGTTATATAAGGAAAATGCCAATTC